ATCTGTTCCAGACTGCATTTGTCTTTTGCTGAAGCTCAGACTCTGGCACAGGATCGGGAATGTTGGAAGCCATGACGTGTCTGCCTCCGCGACCCGAAAGGAGAAGCGGCGATTGAAGGTGAAGATGAAGGAAGCACAATGGGGTTAACTTGTAAACGTTAATACAAGGTAATCATAATAATATTTCGCTATTCTGTGATTTTTAATTATTTAACTATTTCTGTCATCTCAGCCATTGTCGGATTGCTTAAATTCTCAAAACGCAATTCATGACTATTGTCAAAGACAGTCGTTGATTCATCGACGACTCACAGTATGTCAAAGCCTTTGTTTGCTGATCAGTTTCCTTTCTCTCGGTTGCCAGTTCAGTTTACATGCGCGGAAACTCTAAAAGCTTCGATGTACTGTAAGCTTAAACAGTACATATATTTATGAATAAGCCAGGTCAAACAAGCCTGATTCATTGTTATGGTGCATTTTAAATTTGGATTAAACTAATGATCATATGTATCAGATGATTTACATACAGGCAGTCAGGTTTCATTGAGTCCTTCCACACTGCGGAGTTGTTGTGATTCTTCCAAGTGCAGATTTATTTGCGATTGCATAAACGAAACTTTCGAATGAAACTAGGCTTCGTTACTTTGATTTTTTCTTTGTAGAAGCTGCAAATTCTCTGAAAAAAATGGAGCATGTTTCAGAGTGCGGCACCCCTTTCAAAAACAAGTCGTTTGCATCGTTCGTGTAATTTGCCACAATGCATGGAATTTTTATGGCTGTTACAAATGCGATTCACGTTTGGCGGCTTTACGTCAGCGAACACTACTTCTTCAGTAGTTCTGAGCAAAGAGCGTTGGAGGGTTGATTGATTGCTTCTTTGCACTTCAGTCTTCACGCCCTGCATTCATTCTTCTATTTGCGATCATGAAGCTAAATAACTGTAGCTCACGTGATGAACTATGTAGTAAGGCAAGCGAACAACAGCAACAACAAAAACTGGCAGATTCAAGATAGAGATTAAAACGGCATTAACTATCTTGTTTACATTCTTATCCGGGTGCATTCATACAATCAGAATTTGCTGCTACGTCAAGCATCGCTTTACAGTATATCATTCAACTTAACACAGAGACACGGCCATGCGTCCTATGCACTGCAGACG